TATATATATGATTTGTTCAAACATGTTGTAGGCCAAACATACACTTTGACTGTCATTATTAAGACATTTTGTATTTCATTTTGTGTGATGTTTGTATTTCTGTAGCCTCTTGTGTGTCAGGTAATAAGATATAGTCTTTAGTCGTTTTTTTTTTTTCAGTCTCACCTCTGAACTTTAACAATTCATGTTTTTGCCCAGTGGTTCACTACAGCTAAAAAGTATAAACCTAAATTAATTGGTAAATAGAATTTTGGTAGTTTATCTAAGAATACTTATATAAAGTTGCAGCTTTTATATCCACCTTACATGTATTATAATAAAAGACAGAAAGCAAAGTAGGAAAAAAATTATTGACTTAGTAATGAACCTAAATGTGACCGTTTATGGTTCTGATCATCACATGTTCTTTGAATCACATTGCAGCGATTGTGCTTTTGGTTAAATAAAGCTGTGCTTGAACCTGTCTATTGTTTCTATTAATAGTAATGACAATCATCAGGCACCCCCCTCATCTTTTACATCAGTGGTTCACTGTGAAGATCTAATTGCAGCCTTCAATCAGATGTACCCGGTATGCAAATTAAATCTGCAGGCACATGCTATTAGCCCCCCATGAGCATAAGTGTTGTATTTACTGCTTCAGAACAAATCATACAAACTATATATTATTCATTCATTCAGAAAACAATCTTACCAATATATGTTTTTTTTGCAAACAGTGGTCTTTTTATAGAATTAATTGAATAAAAGAAAAGTTGAAAAAAATAAAATAAAATTGAAGCCACAATTATTATTTTTTATTAATTTCTTTTTATATTTTTGCTTCTTAAGAAATGCTTTATGGTTTGCTTGTTTTTTTTTTTAGAATACTTAAGATCTCCATGACCTGGATACATGACAACTTTAAAAAAAAGAGTTGGAAGCAAATCTACTTCTGGATGTTGTTAACATACTTCAGTTCAAAGAACCTATTTTATGTTTTGTTTTAGAAATATGCTGAAAGAATAGTATTTTCTGGTAATATGTGCAGTACAGTCAAATCTAATTAGTGCAAAGCTTTTTCTTTAAAGAAACAGCTTTGTAAAAGCTTTCAAGCAACCCCAGAATATATATTTATTTTTATGATGTAAAAAACAAATTACCCAATCTCCATTCTGTATTCAAAAGTCCTGAATTCAAGAGTGAACCCGTATTGACATCATTTTTTTTAATTATTATTATTTTTGAGCTGTGCCATGTTCTGGTAAAATTTTATGTGCAAATACTTTGAGGGTGATTATTTTAACAATCAGAAAAGCAAACAAACTGAAACACTCTCAAAACTTTCTGGCAAATTTAATCAAAGCTATAAATGGCAATAAATTACAAAAGAGGAGGGGACACTTACTCTCATGTCTTCTCCAGCATTATCTTGACTAAGCAAGCCAATTGTCCACTGTTTTAAACCCTGCTGTGCATTTAGTCTTTTTCCTAGCCAGAGTCTTCTATCACTGTTAAAGTGATTTATGGGATCTTGGTCATGTCACTGACCAAGAACCTTTCTCTTTTTAACTAGACACCTTTTAAACAAGATCACTTTATCTGGGATGAGTGTTAAAAGCTCAAAAGTCATTTTTTTGCTTTAAAATTACCAAGACCACATTACCTGGAATTCCTCATAACTTCTTCTCTTCTTAAAGCCATGCCTCACTCTAAAGGTCTACACATAACTTCTTGTTTATGCTGCTATGATGCAGTGTAAGTTGTGGGAAACAGATGCATGTCTTGCTGAACTTTATATAAGCCATTCATTTGGCAAAAATCAATGAACCAAACAAATGTGGTTTTGTTCCTATATTTTCAACAACTTCTAAAACCTGTTAAGTGTGGACTTATGGCACTATTACCCAATTACATGTCAAGATATGAGACAAAACTTTAAAGAAATGAAGGCTTTATGCACTTTATGATGAACATTTTAGTGTCAATGGGCCAAATTGAAAACTTAGATGACACACCATCCCAGATAGCAAAATATGTCAATTCAATGTTGAATTATGGTCAAAAAAGTTGACTTTTGGTTAAGCTTGATGATTGATCAGCCATCAAACAATCATCCAATTCTAGTCAAATAAGCAATGTTGAAAAGATGTTGTTGAATCAATGGTTCATAGCCAAACTCTAATGTTTGAAATGCCAACGTCTAATCAATTTTGAATCAACATTGATATAGTATCAGTTAAAAAACAACAACATTGTTTCAACAAGTAAGTCACCGACCACTTTTTGTATAACTTCAACATGGATTCAGTATCATGCCTAACCATATTTCAGTGTTGATTCACTCATATTTTGCTATCTGGGATGACATTGTTCAGAGTAGCCACACACGCTTTGGAGTACCTTAGAAAATTATTGTCACTCAACAGTCCACTACAACATTCAGTAATGCAACCTGAAACTGCTTTTTGTTAGGAGGAAGCCATATATCACTTCTGTGCAGAAACACCCGTGCATGTGTTTTCCCCACACAGGCTCATCCAAGAAGGGCATGCAGACAGTAGACAGACATTCCAGGGTCAGACGAGTCCACATATCTGCTTCCTTTTAAGAAAAACAGACATCAGGATTTATGTGCTAAAGATGAGTCAGATTATCCGAGATGTTATCAACAAACGTACCATGGATGCAAAGATGGTTTTAAATTTTTTGAGGAGACATATGTATGCTACTATTAAAGAGGCTTATTTCCTGGCAGGTCTGTGGTTGTCAGTGAAGTGCATCATGAGGAGAAAAATTCAGCTGGAAAAGACAAATTCTTACTGCAAAATGGCAACAATAAATATTCTCTATTTCAGAAAAGGTGTAACAGATATGACAATCGAGCACAAACTACCATCAATTTCTTTCAATTAAAAAAACATTACTGGGAACATCCAAAATTAATTAATTTGTTCTTGGTTTGATTATATAAAACGTATCCATTTTCTTTACCTGTTCCTCCAGAAACCATTTTAAGCTGGAATTTGAAATACCAAACCTTCACTGTAGACCTTATCAGAGCTGATTTTCTCTGTATTAACAAGTTGTTTGAGTATGTAATCTATTTAACATATTGCTTAATTCATGTTCACCTGATTTGTGTATCATTTAAAGTCGGCCTTTGAACACCAGATAGGTGCTTTGGCATTTCTTTCATGCAGACTTTATTCACAGCCTTCCATCATGCGTGAGTCATTTAACTCACCAAATTGTTTTTCAAAGAGCACTCACATGCAATACATATGGTACTTTGTTGGATATCCAAATAAGAAAGAAGCTTATTTATTTTGAGGGAACTTGATACTGTTATTCAGTATCATATAATCGGAACAAGATGAAAGATTGTTTTGCAAGAGAAGAAAGAGACGGTTATGAAGCAATTGATATGTCACGTTAAGTGAGTCCAGCTTGTTCGACCTCAAAAGTTTGGCTTCTCTTTAAAAAGATGTGTGTAATTAAAGTTGACCCAAACAGGCATGTTATGTTATTGATGATGAAAACACAGGTTTCCTTATAATTTTTTTTAAAAAGAAAGTCAAAATGATTGAAGTTTACCAGCTTTATTGTTAAATTTTTTTGGGCCAGCTATCAATTTGAGCATTCCTGTTGCATTACATGGTGCTATGTAATAAAAGATGATGAAGACATTGGAGGTTTTGATGATGCCATGGCTTTATTTTTGTTTATTCAAATATTTCACTAGAAGCTAAACAATTTATAGAAATCTAAAGTATTAATAAGGGAAATAAAAATAGGAATATTAAGATATTGTTATTTTTTTCCTTATCTGGATGTGGCAAATTATAAAGATGAAATATGAGAAAATGTCCTTTAGTGTACCATTAGAAAATTTGATTCTGGATTCTTCTAAAACACTGCTTTAACAAACACAAATGCAATTAATCAATAAGTAATGTATGAATTATTAAATATTACTATTATTTTAGGTAATAAGCTAAAATTGATCAATCAAGTACATTATTAGAATTTTTATTGGGTTCTGAAAAAGACAAACATACTATTTGTGTATAATTGCTGTCTTAGAATAGTTACTACATAGAACTAATAAAAGAGCATGGTATTGTTAGAGCATAAATGCATCAAATATGTTCTTCTAGTTGTATTTAATTATTCTAGTTGTACATAATTATTTCTGTTTCTATTTTGTGTCTCTGGGTGGCCTTGTTTTTCCTACATCGTGGGGACAATTCCCCCACCCCCCCCCAAAAAAACAGCCTTGTGGGGTCCAAATGCAAATTACGAGTGGGGGGTTGGGTTTAGGACCAAGGTGCGAATTGAGTTAAGGTTAGGTTTAGTGTCAGGTAGGTACCTGTGAGGTTACTTTTAGGGTAAATGGTCAGGGTTAGGATATACAATTTCCAAAAAAATGAATGGAAGTCAATGCACAGTCCCCACGGGGATATACAAACCAGACCTGTGAGTGTGTGTAGTCGCATTTATTAGAAACTGTCACACTTCCTCCAGATCAATCTGTTTTGGGTCAGGGCTGATTGTGCAGTTGGTGGATATCAGTTGTCCGTGTAGCAAGGGTTGACCTTACATGTGCCAGTTACTTGAGCTGCTGAGTCGCATGTGAAGCTTACTCCCATAAGGTGAGCTAAGCACTACTGAGCTTTGTTGGGTTACACTTTGGCTGGAGAGGGTGCTGAGTTGCTACAGCAATTTTTACTTTTTGTGTGTGGGATAAACGTCTACAAGATTTAGCACATCAATTTGTCACGTCAGTGTTTAAATTAAAGCTTATCTTCTACATGAAGCCTGCTTTAAAATAGAACTGTTGCTACAGAGCAATTTCTTTATATTAATCCATTTGTCTTTGTCTGACACTAACTTTTCTTCATATCTCTTTTTTTCAGTCATATTCCTCAGTGACTATAACCTGTGCAAATGGGAAGTGGAATAAGCAGGTGTCATGTGAGCCTGTGGACTGTGGTTTGCCAGACAAATACCATGTTCACCCAGCTCAATTCAAATTCCCAGAGGGTACTACGTATGGCAGCAGAAGCACTTTCCAGTGTCGTGAACCTGCCCAGCTCATAGGTGAGATGAACAGCACAAGCACAACAAAGTCTGCATGAGCATTCTGTCCTTTTCATTTCTTTTGCAAACTATTTATGGAAACACATCATTGCTTGATTTTCACAAGCATAATAATCAAATAGATAGTGAATATTTCAATATATTACCACATTTTCATTTTAAATTCAGTTGAAATATTTGAAAAGTTTTCATATAAATGAATGGAATAATTAAAAGACACTATATACACATTTCAACTTAATGTCCAGATTTACAATATAAAATTTGTGTTTGGTAGCTTATTTATTTGTTGTAACAATGCTTCTTTCTTGGCAATAAGTCTTATAACGAACACCTGATTTGCAGCAGCTGAGGATACCAGAAGCTCAACAAAGTGTCAGTAACAACAACAATAAACTGTTTGGGAGAGAAGAGTTGGCAAGTTTTTCATGTGCACAACCAATATATTCAGCTCTCCTGCTAATCACACAAATGCATGTTCCTTACAAAGGTGGCGCCATTTAAAAAATAATTTAACAGGCTTTCGGTATAAGATTTATTGCCAAGAAGCAAAAGAAGTAATCTACCAAAAACATTATTTCTCACTTTTTATGCTGTTATGACAGCTTTTATTTTATTCATTCTTTTTAGGAACAAACAACACTCTGACTTGCTTAGAAGATGGACTCTGGTCTTTCCCAGAGGCTCTTTGTGAGCTTCGCTGTGCAGCCCCTCCTCCCGTAGCCAATGCCGTGCTGCAAACAAAGCGTTGCAATGAGACGGGCCTAAAAGTTGGCACCCTCTGCAAGTACAAGTGCAAGCCAGGATACCATGTTAAGAACAAACCCAAAAGGTAAAGAAGGAAAGAGTTCGTGATTTGTTCAGCTTTGCCACAAAAAATAAAAATAAATCAATAAAATAAAATAAAAAAACTGAACAAATTAAGTTGAACATAAAGCTTCATGTGGAATGAATCACCTCTGCTTTTTTTTTTTAGACGTGCATTTAAGCGCCAGTGCACGGAGGATGGCACCTGGCTGGAGGGAGCATGTGAGCCAGTGACCTGTGATCCTCCCCCACTCATCTTCCACGGCTCCTACCACTGCACTGACGGCTTTCGCTTTGACAGCGTCTGCAGACTCAACTGCTCTGACTCTGCTGGTACTCCTGCTGTTGTCGCCACAAGAGGCTCTGCCCTTACGGTGAGGCTGCTGCACGCTTCATGCAAGCAGGTCTGTCCATCTTTTCCCTCTCTTTCTATTCTTACTTTGTCAATTTTCTTTTTTGCCATCCATTAACAACAGTAAGCATGCTCTTTGGTTTTATTTAGCTTCATTTACTCTATTTATTTTTTTACTTCAAAATGTTAAAAACACATTTTGAATTACTAAGCAGATTTTGTATAATGACATATTAGAGAGGTTTTTATCTAGAATCTGTACTATTGAGTGATATCTCTTAGTAGGCCTAGTGGTTGATAAGAATGAAAGATACAGGCATATTTTGCAAATATACCCTTTTATATCTTACTTCTCACACTGCCCTCATGATGCTTGTTTTTCTCCTTGTCTCCCTTAGCTGTACTCAATTTGATGCCGCACTAATTAGATTACTATTGATCTCCAGAATAGCTCTGCCACCACAGACTTTTGAAATGCATACACCTTTTAATCTATTCTGCCTCTCAGGCATTGTTAGTTAGATTCCTGATAAAAAATATATATATTGTATTTCTTCGCATGCAACGTGATGCCGGCTCAATGTCCTTGGCTTGGCAGTGTTTGTGTACCGGTGTGTGCAAGCATAACTGACTGTCAATATGTGTGTTAATTTCAGGGTCCGGGGTCCAATGCTATTCGCTGTAGGAAGGATGGCAATTGGACAGGGTCATTCCATGTTTGTCCAAACATCAAGGGCCAGTGCTCTTTACCTCAAAACCTGCATTATAGCCTGCAGTACTCATGCAAGAAAGGACACGGCATAGGTTTGTATGATGGCACGACTTTCCTTTTTGTCATTAAGAGCTTTTATGTATAAAAAGTATTAATGGTGTAGAGGGAGACCAGTTGATTAGTTTGCCAGTCACTGCATTTTTTAAGTGACAGATGTGAGCAAATTAAACTGATTAGGGTAGCATGGTGGATTAGGGTTTAGAACTACTACCTCTGGGTTTAACCCTTCGGTTGGGCCTGGACTCTTTCTGTGTGGATTTTGCAAGATCTCCTCGTGTTTGTGTGACTTTTCTTTGGGTCTGTTTCCTGTCACACACCAAAAACATGCATGTTAAAAACAGAGATCTGTGATCTTGATGAGATTTGCCTAATTAAATGAAGGTTAAAACATAATGACAGGAAAGCACATGCTGCAGCTAGGCTACAGTCGCACATCCTTCTGGTTCTGGCCTTGTTTGTCGATGACACCTCGCTTTTTGAAGAGAAAGATATTCTGACAAAACCACATTAAAAATGAAGATATACCTTTTATTTGAAACTGACTTATCCATACTTCGAGTTCTTTGATCTTTCCTTCTTGTGAACACACACACAGGTGAGGAGTGTGAGCTCATGTGCAGAGAAGGCAACAACGAAGTGGTGATCCTGCCCAGCAACATGACGGTAAAAAGTGTTCTTAAGGAGCACTGGAGGAACCCGCTAAAAGTCAAGGTAAGGTTCTGTGTATATTTGTGTCCTTGTCATTGCTCTGACAAACGCACTTTGTAAAATCCTGCGATCTGTAAGGAATTTCACACGTAGTTCTTACATCCTCCCTCGATTATCTACAGTGCAAAATGCCGGCTTTTCCTTGACCCAGTGCTGTACAAATATTTGTGTGTGGAGCATGGCAACCCTTAAAACAACCTAGTATTTTCTTGGTGTAAACATGTTGCTGCCTGTGGGTTCCCAATTTGTCATAACCACTGTCCCGAAAAGCTTTGGACTGTCTCTAGTAATTAAACATCATCTTAACTCTAATAAACAAGTAATTGGACAGCCTAATGAATTTTAATTTCAGTGTGGTTGTTCTGCTGCCAAAAACAACCTACAGCAAAAAGCACAGAGTAAAACTCCTACTAAACAAACTTTTATGATGTGTGCAGTTCTTGACTCATGGACCTCTCATTTCACTTGTGATCAAGTCTTATCAGAAATATTAAGTTATAATTGACCCCATAAATAAATATATTTCACAGCTACTGATTGTACTGATGCAGGAGCAGTTTCCTAAACTGGCAGGAAAACACTGGGAAATTTATTGCGGGATGATGATTCAGCACAAAGCTGTACAAATAGTTCTTGAGGAGATGCTATTCACACATCCGTGGTGTTTCTTTGATGTTTTTACGAAGCTTGTCGGAGAGTCAAGAGGTGTAAATGTGTGTGATGTTGGTGGTCTTTTGAAAGTATCAGACAATATGTTCTTTACAGATCCTACTTTGCTCATCTTTCTCGGGGAATGATGCAGATTTGGTGTGGGTGTTGTACCGCGTTCCATTTCTCTCAGAATGATGTAAGGTCGGACTTAATCATGCTTCAGAGGCAAATTGGAAAACCAGTTTGATTAGCTAATTGCTGTGCTCAGTGACCAGGCTAACTACTATTACCACTGCAAGTAAATAACAATGGATTTCTACAGTACGTTTTCTGACTTGGAACTTGAAAATACTGGTTCTTAAGTGCAAATGACACACACCGACATATTACCCTTTCAGCTACATCAGACAAATTTATTTATTTATTATACAAGTTTTGTAACTAGGGAAGAGTATATACCTATGTAATGGAACAATTTGTACCCTTTTCTCTGCAACACCTTTTGATTTTGTTTCAGATGTACACAGAGTATGTTTTTTTTAAAATTTTATGTTGGGAAGGAGGTCTGGGTTGGGTCACATGACCAAAAAGGACCTATTTTTATAGATTTGTGTAATAGATATTGGTTGCACTTAGTGGGAATATGAAACCTGATGCTGTATCATATGGAAGCACTATATACATCACAAAAGTGGTGTGTGAGTGCTTTAGGGTATGTGTAATAGTTTTAAATGTGGACCATAGTTCAGAAGTTTAAAAAAAGGTAAAGTTTGTTTGGTAGAATGTATTTTTTTGGTCTTCTGCTACAGTCCTCTAAATGTTCCTTTGATGATACAGTTGATCTGAGTACTTTTATTATCATCTTCAATTTGCACACATATTCACAAGCCCAGACGTTTCAAATACAATCGACAAAATAACAGTTCTAATATAACTGATTGTATATCCAACTGTGCAAAAAATAAAATAACATTTCGTGACAGTTTGTCAAATTCTTTTAAGGCTGTCATTACCATAATACACATTGAGACTATTCCTATTTAATTGCAGTGCCAAAAAAAGAGGGATGCTGGAAATGAAAACTTTGGTGTTAGGTGCCCACATGCTTGAAACTGAGCAATGAGAAAGGGAAATCAGATATGTTACATGCCCTTTGGGAGAGGTAACCACACAAGATAACAGATCTAAAGATCTTTGAATAAATACGTATCAGACCTCATGTGTGTCAGCAAAATTCAGTCAGTTATTATGTCACAGAGGTGGTTTACAGGCAGAGCAGATGGGGAGAGGGGAAGAGAAAATGCTCTGCCCGACCCCTTCTGACTAGATTTATTTTGCCTTCACCAGATTTTAATCCTATGTGGCATAGTGACATTTTCCAGTACTGACAAAAAAGCTGTCAGTATACCTAACTACCATACATGCATCACTTTGACCAGTTGGAATTTTCATTCAAAGAAGCAGTTGTGATTTTGCTGGTCAAGTTCATATTTGGCTTTCTATTGGTAGGATGAATTATGACAAGGGCAGCGCACAAGTTAAGGTCAAAGAGCAGAAATTCAAGAGTAGAATTTTGTTCCAAAGAAATCTGAGTTTGAGCAGCCAATTTTGGAAAAATTAAGGACCATTTTTTTGCATACATGACCTGCGAAATTATATTCTAGGGCATGCACATTATTTTTTCTGCACACCTCTGACACACCCTTCTCTGTTCGCTTTGCACTCACCTTGAATCTCACATTAAAGACCCAATCAACCAAAGTACAGTTTAGAAAGGCAAACAAATATGGACCAGTTTTAATTAAAAATATTACCAGTATATTGGCTTTTCATGTGAGGTAGCATCACATATGTTCTGTCAGAGGAAAGCCTCCTTGCAGGTGTCAAAATACAGCTTTAGAAAGTACAAACATTTAATTAAAGCTAAATTAATATTTTGTTGGACACATTTTTTTTCAAAATGTTCAAAATTCAAGCAACAAAGCTGTAAACCTTTTAGTCGTAAGGAAACTGAAATTTTGAGACCTTTGGACAATGGAGACTGGCAACTAGTTGCCAACAGTTGCAACTCAGTGAGATACAATGAGGTCCTGGAGAATAAGTTTCTGACAGCTAAACCATTGGCATATGCACATAGTTAGGGATCTAACCATTTAAAAAGTGTGCGAACTGCTACATGTGTTACATTAAATATGATCACTATATCACCCATCTTCTTGTTCCCAAATGCAATCCCTCGTTCTTCTTTGCTGAGTTGGAGGTTGGTATTGCCCATCTTAGCAAGTTGTGTTGATAAATTGCCTTTTAACTAGTTGTATTTTGGTTCTTCATCTGACCCACTTAGAATTCTCTCTTGATTCTTTACCTCTCTTTCTCCTCCTCCTCTTTTACCCATCTCTCTGTCTCTGATGATTATGTGCCTCCAGCCTCCTCCTCCCCCCCCTTTATCAGCAAAATTACCCTGTCGGGCTGGCTGCAGAATTAGTCATTTTCTATATGACACGACCTCGTCTGTGGTGGCGCTGAGATAGAGATCTATTTTTATGTGGTATGAGTGCCCCGGGGACGCTTTGGAGGGTGAGGATCCTATACGTAGTTAGGGGTGAGACCAGGCCACAATCATCGATTATAATGATTTACGGCCTTGCTGAGAGAGGAATAAAAAGGGATGCAGAGAGAAAAAATGAAGGGGAAACGAAAAAGAAGGAGTTTCTGGATGACATCATCATAACAAAAAGTGAGGAAGAAAGGACAAAAGTGCAAGAGTTGCAAAAAATTCCACCTTCAAACTACTTAGTTTCCCACCAACCTTTGCATCCTCTCCTGTTGGATATAAACATGCCTGCATAGGACAGAACTACTCTCACAGCTCTCTGTCGTTTTCAGATGCAATGGTATTCTTCCTCTCCACCTTCAAACTCTGATCCATATTTTTGCATTGATTTGCTGACAGGACTGAAACAAAAAATACCTTAGTCTGCAGTAATGAAAAAAAAATAAGCATGCCAACTTTGTGAGCTTTTGGGACATGGTGGGTCTAAGAACAGGACCCCCTGAGGTCAATCAGTCCTTTGCTGTGGATGGCAATTTTAATCACGGACACTACTTTATATATATATGTAACGAACACTTAATCAGTAAATAAAACATCTTCTCCTTACCTGCTGGATCAGACTGACACACACTGTTCAAATAAGTAATACACACATTATGGACACACAGACACATGACCACTATAAACTCACTTACATGGGTTACATTTTAGCAAACATCATTACATTTAACACATTCTTAACTGTTCTGTTCTTAATCCCAGTAAACTGCATAAAAATAAGACGAAATCTCACACTTTCTTTAAAGAAATTTGAGAACTGGCTGGTATTTATGGTACCTTATGGTGACAAAAAGATAATTCCATTAAGTTATATTATTTGTTTTTAGTTCAAAAAAAGTGTAAATCAAAATGGCCATTACAAAGGAAGTTTCCATGAGTACCTTGAGAGTTATTTTGGCATGGAGTTAAACATATGTGAAATAAAATGCAAAATAAATAAATAAATAAATAAATAAATAAATAAATAAATAAATAAATTTCCTGGCAAACTGGTTCAGACAGTCACATAAAGAAGATAAGGTCACATTTCTTACGCAACTGAACATTCAAATTTTGTCTTATTTTACAGAGTATAGTTTGCACAATGGGACTGAAATGGTATCCAGACCCAGAGTTACTCCGTTGCATCAAAGGATGTGAGGTAAGTGCTAAGTGCTTAACCTGAGTCGGACATTCTTCTATGTTTGTGGGACAACGGTCTCATCAATCACGTGCTGCACTATTATACTTTAATCATTTCACCTTTCTTGACCTGAGATACATCAAATTCAGAATATAAAGTTTTATGAGCTGTACTCGGCTAAATTACCGTAGACAGGAAATGAATTGGCAGATACAGCGCAAGTAAAACTAGCAAACCATTGGTGAAGACTGATCTAATGTCACAATGTGCTTCAACATATCTTATTGCTCTTTGTGCATATATGAACATCTGTGTATAATGTGCAGGTGATCATTAATTAGAGAAGTTTGACAGATTCATTTCAAGCAGCTGATAAAGTTAAAATGACTGCTTTTACGTTAATGCTTCCAATAAGACTAGATTAGTTTATTAATCTGATATAATTGTCATTTTCCAATGCGGTTAAATTCCTGTGTATTTTAAAAACAAATGAGTGCAAAACTGATGCATTCAATTTCAGTGCATGATGCCATCAACTCAGTGAGAGCCAACTGTATAACATGACTGTAACCCAAGCGGTGGGGCGTGGCCAGCCTAATAAATCACCTCACAAGAGCATTTTGTGCTGTGAATAGTTTATGGTGTCCTCGGTTTGATTTACGGGTCTGGCCGACTAAGGGTTTAAACGGTGACATTGAAGAATGAGGAAAACTTAATGTATCAGATTCATCAGCAAATTCATTCAGAGACTTCTAAAGACCCTGAAATACTGAAGAGGAAATCAGAGGGAAAAAAGCTTAAGGCCTTAATAAGATATTGAAAAGGTGGCTTGTTCTCGGTTTCATGATTTTTTTTTTTTTTTTTGCTCAATCGCTTTGTCTCTCTTTTTCTGTCTTCTCCAGCCATTCATGGGAGACAACTACTGTGATGCAGTCAATAACAGGGCATTCTGCAGCTATGATGGAGGAGACTGCTGTCAATCCACTGTCAAGACCAAGAAAGTAAGTGACATGCCTATACTTCGAAATATCCCTAATTGTTAAAATAAAAAGTAATAAAAGTTTGATATAGACAGACTGATAAATAGTCTAAGTTGAAATCACACTTTTAAGTTGTTTCTTTTTCTTTTTGGCTATTCCTCGGACATCTTTATCATTCCATGTGTATTAAATAGATGTTTCATGTTGTATTTTATTTACGTTTATAATGGTATTTTTAAGGTTAGTGAACAGTGTTTGCTTTCCTTTTTCTTCTGTTCTGTAGGTTTTTTATGACACATTTCAGAAAATACAAAAGATTATTTAGAAATCTGACTTTTCTGATTCACAAGTGTGGGAATTTCTACTCTAAACCTTTTCTTCCGTTGAGGTTTTCTCTTTCCTTATATTTTTATTGGTTGAAACCATAAATTTACCTTTGAAGTATATAAATACTTTACTTAGCAGTGAAGCAAACTATACATCCATCTCTCATTGTACAATTCTTACACCTAATTTTGGTCCAACTTTAAATGTTTTTTTAAATTGTAATTTTTGAGAAGGGATCTTTTCAATCTGTGAACACTATGCTGCGGTTTCATTTGTCAGCATTAAAGTTTGTTTATCAAAACCAAAAATGGTCTTCCTTGGAAATTTAATTACTTAATTTACTCACATCCCAGCTGCTCACACACTGGGATACTGGAACAAACACTAGCTTCTGTTCAGCAACATCTGCTTATCTGGCCCAACATGTTCCTGTGAAAGTAATTTTACTTATGGCATATCCATCTGTGTCTGGCAGAATAATAACTCTCAATAGCTTTGCAAGTGCTTTTGTGGGGAGGCTTCTCATTTCATCTTCTGGAAATCAAATATAAAGAACATTGTGTGTTTGTGCGGGTAAACTAATCATGCTTGTTTCATTTTAATCCTGGCAACTCTGAGAAATTCTTCATGAAAACATTATCCTATTAGCATTATTTGAAAGTCACAACTGGCTTGTGGTTTCCCATTTTTGGGTGTCCTGGAAATGATTTAGAAAGATCAAAAGAAATTGCTCTGAAATAACTAATCCTGTTGTCAACAGCGAGGGTCAAGGAAAGCTTTCTGTGGGTGAGAAACAAAAAGGAAACACAAGAAAAAAAAAGTAGTCTGCTAAGTGGAACTGATATGAAGACATCTGGAAAACCAGATGTTAGAGTTTTGTTTTGTTTTTTCCATTAAACCATTGTCTACTTGACACTTCTGGTTTTAAACACAAACTCACATCGTGCATTTAAGAGGGTAATTATTTATTTTATTTATTTTTTATTGTTATTTGTGTCATTTTTTACATTACTGGGACATTTTTGTGCATTTGTCTATTTCTCACGGGGAAAAAAAACTTGACCTCATCAGCCACATTGATGGAACAACTCATTTAAGGAAAAAAAAACAGGCTAATACATTTGTCAAGATCAACATATGCATGGCAAGCACTAAAGTCTGTAGATGCATAAAATCCTTAAAAACAAATTGAGCAAAATCCGCAATGAAAAGACAATATACGGCAGAAGGAATCTGAAACTCATTACCAACCAGTTCCCTTTGTTTAAGCTAATGAGTCATGCACTTGCTGGGCGACAAAGACAGGCAATATTTCACTGTTTTGTCAAATGTCATTGCTTTTGTTCAAACCACAAGTGAAGACTTTGTTCTCATTTGTTTAATTGTTCCCGAACACATATTTTGATGAAGTGATCTTTGTCACAGCTGAGAATATTTGACGTCAATAACAAAACAAATCTGCACAGTTATTTATGGTCAGACATTTTTTTAATACAAACAAGTTTTTATTATTATTATTATTATTTAGAGGTGGAATATTAGAACGTGTCAAAATACAAAAATCCTCATTTTAGAATTAAGTATTGTTTTTTTTCTGAAAGGCGATTGAACTCTAAATGTTGATTAATTTTAAATGACAGTAAAGTTTATTTACATAGAAAATCCTATTGTTTTAAAATTTGATAAAAATAGTGACTGATCTTAAAGTTCAATTTGCTTTTCTCTATGGTTTTCTATATTTTTTGGCTCTTTACTTAATATCAGCAACAATTTAAAAAGTGGGGGACACAGGTAGCTCAATTTCTTTTTGCATATTACTTGAAAAATTTCTTTACCAAGGTGAAACTCTAGATAACTAGATGAACCAATTGGAACCACCCAGAAATAATTGTTTTTTTTTTAAGTTATTAATTCAGAGTTTCAAGTTTTTGCTACAAATTATAGAGCCTGAAACTCAACAAGACCGAGACGTGATTGTGCAAGAACTGTTTCTCAATTTAAAAAGCAGCACTCTTTAACACTCACATAGTCTCATTCACTCTCCTTGTTATTCAGTCTTTTCCCCTTTAATTACCACTGCCAGTCATTTACATTCTCTCTTCCTGATGCTTGCAGTCTCCTTTTCCAGCATTTAGCAAACATGCACACTATCCATCCGTTGCTATGCACAAGTCTGGTGACTCGGTGGGAATCTTGGTCAATGTCATGTCCCCATTATGTTGTAACATAACAAGACAATGACCCCCATCCACACCCCTTTGTTGTTGCTCTGCCAAAACTACTTGTTACATCTAAATGTTTCTGTATTCACTAGTATTGAGGTCCAAAGAAAAAGGGGGGTTAGATTTCACAATGGAAAATAGATAAGTATATGGGTAGATAGATTGACAGACAATCTGATCAACATATTTTTCCTTCTATTAAATGTAACATCATTGTTAGAAATGTAGTTTTCATTTGTGGAACAGTTTCTGTTTTTTTATTTAAAAAACAATTTAGAAGCAAGAGTGTGGAGAAATGATTACACTCATGCCTCAACAAGTCATGAAAACCAACTCAAGTGTTAAACACATAAATATAACCTTAACAGGGTTTCACTCTGTTCTTTGAGGTTTTTAGGCAACACTTTTGCCTCACACCAGGAGGGTCCATGGGTTCAAATCTCAGCAGGAGCCTCTCTGTGTCGAGTTTTCTTATTCTCCCTGAGCATGCGTGTGGTTTTTCTCTGGGTACTCCAGTTTCATCCCAGAGTACAAAAAACATGCTTGTTAGGTTAATTGGCGAGTCTAAATTAGCCTTAAACTGTAAGTGACTGTATCCATGATTGTGTGTCTCTGTGTTGACTCTGTGATGGACTGGCGACCTCTTCAGGGTGTTGCCCGCCTCTTGCCTTTTTACCACCCTAAACAAAATCCAACAGGTACAGGACGTTGAACGTGGTTTGTTCACAAGCAGTTTGGAAAAAAAAAACTGTCATGGGGGCACACTTCTAAAATAGTGTCATGACAAAGGGTGGGAACATATGCCCTAGACCCTACACAGAAAACAAGTATTCCTGCTTTGACAGAGCTGATTTGAATTGTTGAGTGATTAATAGGCCCCTGCAGAACTTGAAGACTTGCTGAAGAGAAAGGTAATAATTAAAACATGCAGGGTAGTGACCCTTGAGGACCAAGATTAGTCACCCCAGGTCTTGGGACACTTAAAATTAAAATTTCCTTGTCAATTCAGATCTGTGATTACCTCCTTTGGAGACTCAGAGACGTAACTGTGGCAGTTTGACATCAACCCCTCTGGTGCCTTTGTCGTGAAAAAGACTTAAGGCAACTTAAAAAATATTTTGTGAAATGCCCTTCTTATTATGATTAGAGGTGATGGTAGGAAATTAATTTTACCCTAAGATGTTTGGCATTATTTACGATTCATCCCAACATTCCTTTCTTTTACCATTTAGTAAAGTTTGTGGGATGAACCTGATTTGTTTTAAAATGATCTTATATCCTTCATCCGTCTGTCCATTTTCTTCCTCTTATCCGGGGTCCGGTCGCGGGGGCTGCAGCCTAAGCAGAGAGACCCAGACTTCCCTCTCCCCAGCCACTTGGACCAGCTTATCTGGGGGAATCCCAAGGCGTTCCCAGGCCAGCTGAGAAACATAGTCCCTCCAGCGTGTCCTGGGTCTTCCTCTGGGTCTCCTCCCAGTGGGACGTGCCCGGAACACCTCACCAGAGAGGTGTCCAGGAGGCATCCTAACCAGATGACCGAGCCACCTCAACTGGCTCCTCTTGACGTGGAGGAGCAGCGGCTCTACTCGGAGTCCCTCCCAGATGACTGAGCTTTTCGCCCTATCTCCAGACACCCTGCGGAGTAAACTCATTTCACCTGCTTGTTTCCGCGATCTCGTTCTTTCGGTCACTACCAAAAGCTCGTGACCATAGATGAGTGTAGGAACATAGACCTACTGGTAAATCGAGAGCTTAGCCTTCTGGCTCAGCTCTCACTTCACCATGACAGATCGGTACAGCGCCCGTATCACTGCAGATGCAGCACCCATCCTCCTGTCGATCTCCTCCTTAATTCTTCCCTCGTTCATGAACAAGACCCCGAGATACTTAAACTCCTCCACTTGGGGCAGGACCTCCTACCCGACCAGGAGAAGGCACCCTACCGTTTTCCGGCTCACGATCTTGGTCTCGGATTTGGAGGCACTGATCCTCATCCCGGCCGCTTCACACTCGGCTGCGAACCGCTCCAGTTGGAGCTGGAGATCAAGATCTGATGAATCCAAAAGGACCACATCATCTGCAAAAAGCAGAGATGTGATCCTAAGGTCACAAAACAGATCCCCTCAACACATTGGTTCTTACTGTATACCCTTTCCCAGTTTAATTAAAATGTCAAACATTCCCCAATTGCCTAAATCATTTTTTTGGTGCTGGGTTACCACACTTCAGAATGCTTCAAACCAGGAAACTGCACCATTTCTGTTTTTTTGCAGAGTTATAATGAGTTAAGAAAGTTAATTTGATTAATAACATTAGGCAGCTGCTGTATTACCCTCTGAACACTCCAGCAAGGGTGCACTTTTTAAAAAAAAAAATCCAAAGCTTTTGCATTTTGTCTTAGTTCTTGTTATATAAATGCAACACCGTGTAATGTAACCTGGGTTGTAATGTTAGGCAAATGCTACATAGGTAGTTTTTACCTACCTTTATGAGCTGGTGAGGACCACATCATTTTTATTGTCTTGTAAAAAACAAACTCTGAATTGAAAAAGGGGGGAGATTTCTCAACTATGACTCTATATATTTGAATTCATGGCATTCTGCTTTGCATTGCTTCCAAGCAAAGAAAAAGGCTCCTATTTTAGTCTTTGTTTTGATAATGATTTGTATATTAAGAAGTTTTGGCTGACTTGCTGTGCATTGTTCCACCCCAGGGTCTTTGAAGGTGCATGGAATGGCTGCACGTAAGGTCACCACAGGATCTCCCCTTAATAGTTACAAGCTGTTAGCTAGATTTTGAGAGACGAGGGGGAACGGGTGGTGGGGGGGTGGGGGTAAAAAGGAAGCAAGGGTCTGGAGTATGCCTCTCTGTGGGGTTCCCTATATGAGGCCCTTTTTGTAGCCCCCAATATAGTTTGGAAAGAATTTTTTCTTGGATCAACTTCGCCTCTCTAAGACATTTTTTTCCTTTTTTATGAATGTGCCTGTGTCTTATTCTGTCCAAAGTTAAGGTCTTGGGTAAGTGCTGAGATTACTCCCAGGCCTCTACCCCTGTTTGCAACTCGGAGTTTGGCACAAATATACCCACTACGTGACTTGCGTGTGTCATGATGGATGTTTGTCTCTAAGCTGATGGTCCGTGATATCCACCGCTAACCACAAATCCCTGTGTTAGTAATTCACGTAGAGAAATTCCTTTGCTCTTTTTTTCAGCAAGAAAAGTGTTGTCTTACACCAAGGGCTTCAAACTGTTAACTTGTTTTATATTATTTTGTTGTCAGATTTTTCATTCTAAATTGTTTTATTATTCAAATTTCTCTTTATATTATTTGTAAAGAATACTCTTATAAAATAATTTGAATTATTTTTTTTACATGCCACTCTAGAATTAGTAGACTTGTTTGTTTACATCATTACAACACTTTTTAAGCTTAAAATACGTTGCGACCTCTGGTGCTAAAATGCAGAGATTTCAGAAATCAAGTAAACAACAGGTATTTTAGGTGCTTTAAACGGGTTAAGTGTGTTTCTTTTTTGCTTAGAAGTGTTTTATTTGCCTCATAAAACATGTACACAGAGATTAGATAAGAACTAAAGTCTGTCGTTATAAACTGCTTTTTAAAAACTTTCTCTAATAGCCACAGTTACTTGTTAATGAAGAGTGAGGAATGCACCTCTAAATCAGGCAGTTTCCTTTTTCCCCCAGTCTTGAGCTCCTTAGATCACCTTCTTTTCTCAAACTGCTGGCTTACTGCAGATCGCACACAGAAAACCATAGAAGAGCTTCACTATTTTGACCTATTCCTTAGATGGAAGGATGGAACATGGACAAGGTTTCTGTTCTTCAGAAGGTCTTTAATTTTGTTCTCACCTTGTGGGTGTCCTCATCCAGTCCTTTTCTAACACTGGGAATCAGGGCAGCAGGAGGGCCCCCAGGCCCACAAGGTTAGGTAGACCCATTTCTCAGCCACCATGAGAGAATCCTAAGTCAGGGCCAGATGTGGCACCTGGCCCAGTCACCTTGGAGGTGAAGGTCAAAAGAAAACCATGTCAAATCTGCCACCCACCATCATTTTCTACATAGTAAGATAAGCACAAGTGGCCTTGGAGTGACAGTAAAGTGCGTAAGTAACTTGGGAGGCATGGTGGGAAAGTGTGCTGTGATGGAAAGGAATAATAATGAGACGTGAAAAAAAAAAAAGAAAAGAAAGACAGATAAGTGTTAAACAGATATGTTGCAAATTAAAAAGAACCCTCAATCAAGTGGAAATAAGCCCTGCATACACAAAATGTTTGATGTCAGAATGCCACAAAGGAAACCCTGGTCAATCAGTTGGCAGCTGTTTTGGAATGACCAGCCTTGTAAAGTCATCACACTCAGATACCATTTTCTCAGAAGAGTTTAGCAGTTTCTTATAGGAACAGTCTTACAGATTTATCAGCAGGTCATGTGAGCTGAATTGTTTTAAAAAAGTTGAAACACATTGATATCCTCATATTTAAAAGAGACCCAACCCTTTTCTGTCGGATGAAGAATTTTACATCAACTGTTTCTAAAGTGTTCAGTAATTAACCACTTAATTTTCCAAAGTGATATTAACTTATGATGCATTTTTGTCAGCTTGTTTTACCAAAGTAGTTTCAGAAATTGTAACACATCTACTTTACATTTAGTTGCAGATCCATAACCCTCTTCTGGAAGAAGTCAAATTTGTGTTGGCTGCACTGGCTTGTATTATTGTTACATTTGCAACGTTTACTAGGCTCCATTGTCTAACAAAGGCCACTTTAGTCTAATAAAATAAAGCAACACTGATTTCAAGCTCACAGCTCTTAACAGTATTAGCCACCGAGACACAAACTGAAACTGTCCTTGGTATGCTGCCGGCCTTACATGACTTGAACAACACGTGTTTCCTGTTTGGCCTAGAGAAGGGGGACACATTTTGTGTACCCAAACAGCTGAAGCCAACCCCTTGAGAGGTGAGCAAGCAGACAAGGCTGCAGCAGCTGGTGTTGATGACGCATTGCCAACATTATCCAGTTACGTCAAAGCCAGGGCCAATGACCACTGATCATCCTGTTCTGCTTTCACTGGCAGTATTTCATGCTGACACCAAACTATCAGAGAAAATGGGAATAAATGAAAATATAAACTGTTGTGATTTTGGAAGATTGTGACATGGAATGGGTCTTCTATGAGCTGCAAATGAAAAAGAATAATTGTTGTAAGTTCAAGGTCAATTAATAACTTTCAAAGTTAATATATATATATATATATATATATATATATGTGTGTGTGTGTGTGTGTGTGTGTGTTTTACACTACCTGACTTACTTATTTGACTTGTTTGATTATAATTATAAATAAAACCACATGTGCTACTTGGGTACAACTTTGAGTTTCTTTACGTTTACACAAATTTTTTCTTTGCATGACACCTACTATTCCTTGCATGAATGAAAAAAAAAGTTTATTTTACTCGCTACTGTCATCTGATGGCTTTAGTTGTCAGGTTTTAAAATGAATTTATAGTAGAAGACATTTCATTAAACAACAGTTGATTTATTTTATTTATTTATTAACTTTTATTTGGCAAATCCCATTGAGATCACAGATCCCTTTTTGCAAAGGAGGCCTGGGCCTGAAGGCAACCTATTGTATGTGTTTGGTCTGCTTGTAGTTGTGATATTTGTAAATTTATTGCCAGCTGCCATGAATAGCAAGGGGTCATGTGTCTGGGTGTACGTGTTTGAGTGTCAGTTAGTTAAACAGCTCATGAATCGCTAGGCATTGTTCAATTATATTTTCATAAAGTAATAATTTTAAGTACATCTACAACTGATGAATTTTTGGATTCAACCAGACTAACAATGGCCATTATGGTTAAATGACCTTAGCAAAGATAACAATGCTTACAACTCAGTCAGTTTTGCAGATAAAATGTTGTGAGAGTCATCCTCTGGTGCTAAAAGATCATAAGAGATCTTGTCTGAAATCTTAGATTGCACAGTAGTGGGGGATATGCTTTTAACAATAGGTTGTTTTTCAAGTAAAAGGTCATCATTAGATGTTATAACACAATTTGTTTATTTCAGCAATATAAAAAAATGTGGGTTTTGTGCACATTGTAACGTTGTATTTAAAAAAAGCATTCTGGAAATTATTTTGAACATTTGAGCTACCTTACAACTGACTATTCAGTAATGACTGCAAAAAAATCTGTCTTAAAGTTAACATGTATTTTTTTTCTCTCATGCAGGTGATTCCCTTTCCCATGTCCTGTGACATACGGGATGAGTGCTCCTGTCGAGATCCCAAAGCCATGGAGAACAGGAAAAATGAGCGCAACCATTCCCAAGGGTGATCCACCTGAGCAGTTACCTCCGTTCGGTGTTCCAGGACCTTTTCTTCAACATAACACAACCAGAGTGGTCAAGGCAGACCCCCCCACCCCACCCCCCCACTTCATCCTCCTCCTCTCGGCCCACTATCTCCTGCACATGCTGCTTAAAAGGCATACCTCTTCCTCTATACTGCAATCCCAGCCAGCTAAAATGCTTTCACCTCTCTACAGAAGGAAGATCTAAAAAAAAAAGAAGAAGAGAGAATTATGGGACTCCACAGAAAACAAAAATTCTCAACTAAGATGGAAGTAACCCCTGTGACACCACCATCAAAAAGAACATGTATAGCATTTAAAAAAAATACGTGAAACAGACTTTGTTTTTGGGAAGATAACACACAAAGATAAAACAAAACCATGCGTAGGTAGCATGCCATTTGTTGAGTTTTGTGCTGCCTTTAGTATTGTTTTCAGTTACCTCACTCTACAATCATGCGATTGAACCAAAGGTAAATCAAAACATGCAAGTATGGGATAGTACCAATACTGGCTCTGTGTTTTGCAGATATGAATGACATGAAGACAAATATATAAAGTCACTCAGACACTCACAACCCCCAGCTTGCTTTCAGAGGGGCTACAAGCTTATGTTTCTATCACTTCTACATTCAAATTAAATAGTCAGATATTCTTTAAATCTGTATCATTTTATCGTAATATCTGTTTCCTCAAAAGGATGTCAGAGGTTTTAGGCGTTACATTGAGAATGGATGGGAATGCCACAGCCATATTGTTTCGAGCCACAAATTTGGCACAAAAAACTAGACTAAAAAAACAACAGTTGAGACATTTTGAAGTGGAGTTTTGTGGAAAAAAAATGATGACAAATAGTATCTTACCTGCTGAACAATAACAAAATAACAGTATCAAAAAAATCAGTAGTTTTAGCAAACACTATATTAAATATTTCAACATCTTCAGTACCACAGAACATGATTATTCTAACAGCAATATTATGATATACCTGCTGGAACTGCCCCATGCTGCACAAGCATTGCTTCAACTAGCTGCTGCTTTTTGTATTTGCAAATAACCACATAATCATGTGTGATTAACTGTAGTGCAAGACCAACTGTGTAAAAATTTGTGAATTAACATTCACGTGAACCACTGTAAAAATATAATGAAGTTGTTTTGAGATCTTTTGAGATGGCAATAATCCACTCTTGGTCTCACTTGTCTTAGCTTGTTGATTAGATCAGAATTAACAAGCCTTTACTAACCGAGGCCTTTCAAAGAGCTACGTACAACAGGTAAGCTATTGATTACTCATAACCTTTCCACAGAAATCTGCTTCAAAATATCTAAACTGTCACTATAAATGCAAAGACTAACTCACGAAAACGAACAACAACACAAATCTAAGAACAATTTAAATATAAAATCCTGAAAATATTTGATCATTTTATTGTGGCTTTTGCTTCTTTCCATCTCAATATTTTGTCGGCTGAGTCAGCTTTGTCTTCCTAACTGCTTACAGTTTTTCTGGATAGTGTTCATTCACTCTTGCATGTTATTAAACGACCCTGTCATCTCACATTTACAAAAGAAAAAAAAAACGTTGACAGAGCCACATATGAAATGCACTAACCACCCCCCCCCCCCCCCAAAAAAAAAAAAACATCCAGAACCTCAAGTTCTATCCCGCTTTTACCCAGCTTTCTCAGAATAATACTATACTCATTGATCACGACTTAAAGAATGTCATCCATAACCTCACTTGGGACTTGGGTTGCTTTTAGTTTCAGTTTGAACTCCTCTCATACGGAGCTTGATACGAACTATGTTACCTCATTACCGCCTGAGACTGAAAAGGAAAAAAGCTGAAAAGAAACGCATCCCAGTCCTGATCAGAATGTAGACGATGCTTGTCAAAGGCCTGTGGCTTTCTTGATCTCACAGTACTGCACACCACAGTCACACAGGGACAAAAGGCTGGATATGTGCCTCCTAGACCCCCCACTCCCCACCCACCTCCCAACCAGCATGCTTCCCCTTAGGCACATCTCGTTTCACTTTTTCCTCTCCTGGAACTCTGTCGCTCTGCAGGCAGCAGGGTTTTACATGAAAAATGACATTTGGATGTATATGTCAACACAGCATTTCCAGTCTGAATATATTCAAAGCCCCACCAGTACCTCCTGCTGAGTATAGTTTAAGTAGTTTATTTACTGTTCACTTCAGTACAAAGTGCACTTCGAATCGTTTTTCAGTATTTGGGTTTTCCATTCTCGTGAAGTATCTTTACATGGCTGCTATGAAAACTTTTGTTACTCTTCATCCCAGACGCACACAAACACATCGTTTTCATGCACATTTGACAATGAAGACTGCTCGGCATGTTGGTCCAAACTTTGCTGCTCCACGCTCGCTGCAACAAGTAGCGTGCTTCATTTTCATTTCATTTAGCCCAGTGGCATGGCATTCATGTTCCGTCCATTCCAGAGCCTCCTCGTTTGAGCTTGCATTGTACAAGGGACAATTTGAAAGAAAGTTTCATGTCATTTTTATAGCCACCTTTAGTAAAGAGCTATGAGAGTACTAAAAGACGCAAATAAATAAAGAGGGTAATATTTTCTTTTAAATATTTATATATATATAAACACAATATCATGTAGTTAATGTTCTTTAAGAACAGAGTATTGACAAATGTTTATAATTTTTTATGTTTTATTTTGCATTTCATTTTTTGAAAAAATGTCATTTAATCAGTGTTTATATTAATGACCTCAATTACTGCACTTTCTAGTTGTTATGTAAGAAGAAAAGTTATATCTTTCAAAAATGCTTAGAAGCTGCTATTGTCAAAATGGTAACCTAAGGCAAAGTGTATTATATTTGGTAATTTGACTCCCTGTGTTGCTTTTAGCTGTTCTGTCTTTTGTATTTTACTTGGCTCTGAAGCTCGATATTCAGAGGACATGTGGTTATGCTTTTCCTGCAACTGAAACTGGCTTTGCATTTGATGTTTTTAATGAAGTACGGCGTTTGTGTCACAACAAAAAACACACGTCATCCATAGAAGTCCCAATTCTCAAACAAGTGTCAACGCATTTTAGACATATTTTGTTACATTTTTAAAGTCCAGCTAGACTGTAGATGTTTTTTTTTTGTTGCCTTTGTGTATGTGTAAAAGCTTATGTTTTAACATGCAGAGGACAGAAAATGAAGAAATCCTCCATCAGAAGGGACTTTTGAAAGACTTTTGTAAAGTACAACTCTTTGTAAGGGCGTTCTGAAGGCTACACAATCTTTAAAGATAAGATTTATAAACTTTATATGAAAACTATATAGCCCTGATAAAACTGACTTGTATTATGTTCATGTTACTGAATTATATGTAATGTTTGTAATCCAGATACTGCTGCTTCATATAGAACTCATACCAGTGAGGGAAAGACGCACCTGTTGTCACTACACTATATCAATGACATGCAGTACTGTGGTTCATCATCTGCCACTGAGGCCACTGAAAAGTCGTTCCAGCTGTTTGAAAATGAAACTTGTCATGAAGGCCCATTCTTTCATTTTCTAGATTTATTAGCTGTTTCTTTCATGCACTATTCTAGAAATGTCCTCAGCAATTATGTTAATAGTCAATACCTGGACACCAAAACAACTGATTGTAACGGCTACAAAAGGCCACAGAATGTTGCTACATGTTTACTTTAAAAAAGGTTATATTCTTAGTGTAGAAGAAGGTTCCCAAAAGCCATGGATAATTACAGTAAAAATTTAAAAATATACATTTGTGCATCAGATGAGGACGCCGCCTCTCTACTGTAGCCATCACAGGATCCCTTGCTGTACCTCATGCCTGTAATGTTGCTGCTTCTATTTTTTTTTTTGGTATTTTAGTGACATTTTCTGAGTCTCATAACAATGATGTAAATAGTGCAACTATTTATTGAGAGTGTTTTACTTTTTTAAGTTATATTTAATTACAATTAAGTTATTTTTTACATTGTTCCTATAAGCCAACACACTAAATGTCGTGAGTCAAAATTTTCCTTTTTTTTTCTTCTCTCTGTCATTACAGTCTCTTGCTATCATTGCTGTTTTAGTTCTGACAAGACACATAAGAAAAAGATCATCTGTCACTGGTCATTATGTCGAAATAGAAAAAAATAAATAAAAGCATTCACTGCATTTTTCCCCAGAATTAATACATATAAATGACATGTACATATTAAGAAGTTCTGCAAAGGAAATAAAAACCCATTGGTCAAATTCACAAAATCCTAATATTCACACTACATTTTTATTGCAAGTGTGGCTAAAAGATTATTTGTACTCAGTCAGCTAAAGACCTGGAGGGAAGGGGATAGAGGCATAGAAAGGGACCAATAAATGAGGAAAAAACAAAGGACTGGGAGTTAGAAGGGAGCCAGTGGTGAGTGTTCTTGGATGGGGCAAAAGTAGAAGGTGGGCAGCAGGAGAGGTGTTTAAGGGTGGGCTGCTTTTCCTGGCCTGTCTTGCTGTTTGTCCAGGTGTGAAGCTGTGTACACACAGACACTGCCCCTGGGCAAAGAGCGGCCAGCCTGACTGGCAACACGCTGAGTCCAGTGAGTCAGAGTTTCTCCTAGAGATGGCAGCCATCCCTCTCTGGGACTCCTGACACCCCTCCCACCAGCTCACCACCTCCCCTCGACTCGACACACTGCCTCATCTGTCACTGTCAGGCATGCCTTTGCAGGGCAGCCAGGGTCAAGCTGGCCCCGTGAAAATGAGAGAAAATGTTTGCCCAGCTTCCAAAGTCTTTTGAAGTTAGGCTGAAGGAACAGAGGCTTTTCTCACCTAGAGTCTTTGCCCATCACCTCACATCATGCGATACCAGTTTTATCACAGGTTTTACATGTCTTTGATTATCAGCAACATTTATTTTTTAAATAACTCTTTGTTTTGTCTAAAATAGCATATGTTTGTGTCTCATTATAAAGCAATGAGACGCATAAAAAGACTGTATGTAGCCCCAATGTTTTGCTCGGAAAAAGAAAAATGAAAAGTAAGCCACCCTGTTGTAAGAAAATTTTATCATGTGTTGTAACACATCAAGTACCTCTCACAGACTTTTGGTTTTAGAATAGTCCCATTATGTTTGCTCACTATTCCTTAAATAAATTAAAAGGTGAAGTGTATTTTTTTTCTAAGTGAGAAGTACAAAAAATGTATTTGCATTATATGTGGCTATCTAGTTGTATTATTGCAATGTTTCGTACCCAACTGCTTAACAAATATATTTTAAGGTGTAAATATTAATATTATATCATAATTATTGTATTCGCAAAAAAAAAGATGTACTAACTTGTTTGGGAGTAGCTCTTGGATTGATTTTGATCAAAACTAGAACACAAAGAAATGAACCGTAAATTGTTATAGTGTCATGGTATCAGCTGCAAGATGAAAAAAAATTAAAAAAAATGAAAAAAATTGTGATGCTTTACCACACCACTTGTTGTTAAAATTTATTTGTTCATAATGGCCTAGTGTAAGCACTGTTGTCAGATGTCTAAACCATGGATTTATCTGTTAAGTCATATATTATTTATTTGATGTTGCAAAATATAAAAAAATAAAAATAAAAAGTAATCAGAAAGGTCATCTTGGGTCTCATGAGTTTTTGAGAATGAATTTTTACAATCCCATTTTTCGTACTGTTGATCAAGGTTTTATCTCACTGGGCTGTGACTGTTGGGAGCCTATGCAGCCAATGTTTGAAAATCCAGCTTCCAAGGAATGAATTGCTTAGTGAAGGCAGCAGAAACTCAAGGTGAAAGATGAGGAACAAGAGGAGCCATCATGGAAAAACAAGCCCTGTCTACATGCATCATTGGCAGACGGAGGTAGCGGCTGATATCAACAATTCCCATGAGTTAGACAGGGGTGGACTGACAGACAGCACAGAGGCACTAATTATGGAGAGACCAGGGTGTCCCACACCAGGCAAGACTCAAGATTCAGGCTGTGCAAAAAAATCACTTGAGACAGTCCAGCGCGTAGATCCAGGCAGGCAAGGAGAGCATGGAATGCTATAACCAAGTGGCTAAAATGGTGCATAGAAACATCTGTGCTGAGTTTGGACTGGGGTTCCACAGCGAAAGTAGGAAGCTCTGCCAAGGGTGGTGGACAATGACAAGGATACTGCAGCATTTCCGGATCCAAAATGACAAACAGGTGATGGCAAACTAACCATGCACTGTGGTCATCGACAAACCACAGAAGGCAGCAGTAGAGCTAGATAATGATCCCAAGTGTGTGCAACATCAAGAAGAAGGAGAAGCTTGAGAAATACCAAGAGCTGAAAGAGGAAATAGAGAGGTTGAGGAGAATCAAGGCCTCAGTGCTCATCGGCACACACGGCGCTCTGACTCCTGAACTGGAACAGTGGTTCTGCACAGAAGCTCCCAAGCTTCTGGTAAAGGACACAAGCCTGAAGTGAAGTGGAAACACACATGGGAAAAAATAGGGTGACACACACAGCTGAGAAAGAGGGAGAGAGAGAGAAACATTGGTGCTCTGACTCATGGCAAAACATGACTAATAGATATGTTTTTTTAATAAAAAGTCATACATATAATGTTCATTTTTGCAACCATGCATTGCATAAAAATACAACACTGGTTCAAATTATGATCCAGCTACTATGTGGTCACTTTGAAAGTTGCATTACTTTTCAACAATTGTTTTAACAAATATAAATGTATCTCATTTAAAGATGTTTTACAGTAGCTGCACATCCCCTTTTGCTGAATATTCTAAGTTATTAAAGTATCATAACACCATTGTGAGGTCTTTCAAACTTTAAATATAAGAAAACGCTGAAGTGGCTGTAAAAGAGGAACTTGTTCAGCAGGCCTGCACTGATACACTGGCATGGAAATGTGAGGGTTGTTCCTGGCACATCAGTGACCTTAATGCCCTAATTTCTGTGAATGAACATCTAGCTACTGATTTTTAAAGTGCAGTTAATGTTGCATGACTGAAAAAGAAACTGGATCTGAGCTTAAAGGAATAGTTTGTTGAGAGGGGTGGAAAAAGTAAATGCTTCCCAGCAGCTCACATGCAGAGAGGCATAGCCACCTTCAGTTAATGATATAAATTAGAGTAATTTGTATGGGATGGATGTCTGTTAGTTCAGTGACTGTTTTTTTTCCTCTTTTGCTCTTTTTCATCGAAATGTAAATATTTTCCAGCAAGATCACATAGCAAATTGGCAAAAAACCTGGGAAATAACAGTGTTTTGCTTCATTCTGCCATTACTTCCAGCCATCTTTTTCTGCACCTTATTTTGCCATCATGCTAATTGATTGTGATCCAATAACTGCCCTGCTATTGTGCAATTTAGATGTTGTGATTTGCCCACCAGGGACTTCTCTCTTGTGAAGCCCATGTCAGAGCCAACAGGATATATGAGTCATCACATCAACTAAGCTAAACCATGTAAGATAAAGTTAAACCTCTATGACAAAAAAATATATATAAAAAAAAGTCAAGATAACATTTGTTTGGGGTGGGAATTAATTACACATTATAGCTGATTGCCTGTGCTGTATAAGTCTTTAGCCACATTTTATTTATTTTTTGTTCCATTCATCCATTATCTCTTGATTCAGACTGAAAGGGCAGCAGCTTGAGCAGGGAGGTCTGAACATCTTTTTATCCAGCCACCTCGTCCAGCTTATCTAGAGGATTCCATGATGTTCCCAGACCAGTTGAGAGACATCCTTTTCTCCAGCATGTCCTGGGTTTTCAATGGTGTCTCCTCCCATTTGAACATGCCTGGAACACCTCCCTGAGGAAGTATCCGGGGGTGGGGTGTGGGGGGGGGCATCTTCATATCAAGCTCGGGTTGTTTACCAGAGGCCGGGGAACTTGAGGGTTCATCACAGTATCTTAGCTGTTCCTAGGACTGCGCTTTTCTGGACTGAGGCATCAGATGTTTCTCCATGTATCTGTTGGAGCCACTTCTCCAGCATGGGGGTCACTGGCCCGAGTGCGCCGATGACCTCAGGCACTACAGTTGCCTTTACCTGTCAGGCCTGTTCTAGTTCTTTCCTCAACCCTTGGAATTTCTCCATTTTCTTGCGTTCCTCTTTCTTGATGTTTCCATCGTTGGGGATGGCCACATCAATCACAACGGCTGTCCTCTGCTGCTTATCAATGATCACAATATCAGGTTGGTTGGACATTACCATCTTGTCTGTTTGAATCTGGAAGTCCCACAGGATCTTAGCTCGGTCATTCTGCACCACCTTAGGATGTCATTCCCAATTGGATCTAAGGGTTTCCAGTTCGTACTCCGCACCAATGTTTCTGTACACTATACACTACCAGCCACGTTCCATGTATTCCTTTCCTGCTAGTATCTTACAGCCTGCTGGTCTTCCCTGAGGCCTCCCACTGGTTGGATGTGTCTGGAACACCTTTAAAAGACGGTGTCCAAGAAGCATCCAAGTCAGATGTCCAAACCCCCTCAACTGACTCCTTTGGATGAGGAGGAGCAGCGGCTCTTCTCTGAGCTCCTCACCCTATCTCTAAGGCTGAGCCCGGTCACCGAAGGAAGGAAGTTCATGAGCTTGGTCTTCTCTCAGACATAAACTTCCTTATTTAATGTGTGATCTCCAGACATTTATGCAAACAGTAATAACTTAGGTTAATAATAATAAAGTAATAAAACTGTGCATTTAGAAAATAAACAACAAAAATAAAGATGTTGGAAATGTTTGAAAGTGTTTTCAAACACGATCAAATTTTGATTTGTCAACAAAAGAATTTCATTAATGAATCACAAATTGTAATTGCTGCTTTTCAGTTTAAAGTAAACAATACATACTGCATTTCATTGTTTTTCAAGTCATAAATACTTTTGTTTTTCAATGTGGCTGTTCCAACATGTGTTAACACTTTTGAGTTTGAGCAACAGTATCCCGTTTGCTTTCTTCTGATATGACGCACACACAAGAGAGGAACAGCAGTCATGATCAAAGTGGGAGGTGTGGGAGTAGCAAAGTATCCAATGTTTTGTTTATTCATGTACAGTGACAAATGTTTCATACACAATGACAATTATTGTGTCAACTATTTCAAGATGTGCAAGAGTATTTAAGTTGAGTGTTTGGACTCAGTTTTTTTTCAACTCTAATGTTTTGCATAAAAGAATTGTTCTAAACTGACAAGAAAAAGCTTTTAAAGTAAATCATGATAAATGAATTCAGTAGAAGTGCACATTGGCAATAAATTGACAATAAATAAGAACAGTTAAAAAATTTGAAAAAGCTTCACAGAGAAAAAAAAAAACGAACAAACAAGGATTTTGGAATGCATTATTTGTTGAAAAAAAATATGTTTCCCGTGTTTTGACAGTCATTCAAGTAAGATCAAAATATTTTAATGTTGTTCTTCATTGTTTTTTGTTTGTACATTTTAAATGTCACATTCTTTCCAAACAAAAAAGCAGATGGTAACACAGATTTGTATTTACAATTAAAAATTTACAATATAATAATTTATTATTACAATTTATAGCATAAATTTAACCTATTTGAAAAAAGGCAATATTTGCTTACATTATAAGAATATCCATGGCTTTGAATACACGTCAGATGACTGACAAACAAAAAGAAAATAAACATTTCTGCAATCACCAACTTTTCATTTCATGAAGTATTTCATCTGTAGGATTAGACTAAAAAGAACTCTTCAAGCCGCCTGTTATTGTTTTAAATATGCTGTTAGAGTTTAGAAAATAGGAGAAAAAAAATCATCTTTTGAATTTAAATAAGCAAATTTAGTGTTTAAATCTAATATGGAATCAATTTGAAAACTCTAATTTTATATCCATTTAAAAGATCCCATTTAATGATGACTAACACTTTTTAGTTAGATTGCAAGCAAATCAATGAATTTGGCATTGTAAGTGAAAAAAAACATCCATTGTGTAGTCATTGTGTTGTAAAGTTTGTTTTAGGTATGTTAGAAATGAAAAAGCAGATAGAAATTATTCTAATAAGTTTGTTTTTAAATAAAAGCTTAATGAAAATAAGAGAATGTGATGTCTAAGTTCAGCATGTTTTCTGTCTCTACATCATTTTCCCAGTCATCCCACTTTTCAATCCTGCTACCATACATAGACTTGCCGTTTAAACTGAAAATACTTGTCACACTACATGCTTTAACACTTATTGTTTTTTAATTGCTGATGCAAAGCTTAATATTTCAAAATTAACGTAAATTTGAAAACAAGTCAGTGATTTCTGAAATGGCTTGGACACAACTGTTTCTCCATTCTAATAAAAGTAGCAAAGGCAAATAATACTTCCCGTTTTAGATTCTTCTTTTCAGTATTCATTGTAAGCACCAGAAATGAACTACATTATTACATTCAAGTTATTTAAGACAACCTTTTTTTTAAAACTGAATTACATTTTTTACATGGTTACACTGCAGTATCTCGTTGATATGCACATCACTGGCATTTGGTAGAGAGAACAAGGTCTGCTCCAGAGAGTTTCATGTTCCTTTTACTATAAAGGTTGGCTACGCAAAAACAAGTTTCTTGGTAGCTTCAACACAATGTCCAGTGACTTTTTAGGATTTCTCTTCATGTCTCTCCTGGTTTTTAAAATGCACCAGTCCCACAAGAGACACTTGCTGCAGAGTGCACTAAAGAGGTTCAGTCAATCAGTAATTTCATTTTGCTGAAATAAAATTTAAAAATAAATAACTAAATGAAAAGCACTGCTTAGATGACTTCCTCTCTCACCGAAGTTTGGTGTTGCTGTACGTGTTACGCTGCACAGAAATGAGCTTATCCATGCATGAGGTGCGGCTGTCATGTAAAGAGTTGTGCCACGTGTTGCTGAGAGGGCGCCCCTCTTCGCTCCGGCAGTAGATATATGCCATGGTGTCTGTACGGCTTTGGATATGGGTGCTGCTTAGGAGGGACCGGCAGTACAGGCTGATCGCCTCCACCCTTCGAAGTATCAAACTGGCTTTTCTGTTGGAGAGAAAGGACACATATCAGTTCATTCAAACATATCACAATTTCCTGAACTAAAGGGAAAATGTATTTAATAATTAGGCACTATCTATCTATCTATCTATCTATCTATCTATCTATCTATCTATCTATCTATCTATCTATCTATCTATCTATCTATCTATCTATCTATCTATCTATCTTAGATGGAAAAAAAGGATAAAATGTCATGTATTTATAATGTTGTTAATTATAATCATATAGGGCAAGTTTAAAATGATTTGCTGCACATCTGCATGAAACTACAGACATCCCTAACTCCACCAATAAAGTGTTGTGAAGATCAAACTGCAAGATATTTAAGATAGAAAATAGAAAATTTAAATGAGATAAAATGATTCACCAGCTAAAACACCTGCTGGATGCATCAGTTGTTGATTATGCTTTGCTGGATTAAAATGGAAGCGAACCAGCCAGATGGAATAAAAAAAATAATCTGGAGGTCTGTATACTACAATTCAAGTACAGTAACTGACATGTTGTGTTTTTTATCATTCTGACAAGACTGCCAGTGTGGATCAAAAACAGAACCTGCACATTTTCGGGCAGTAGCTGTCTTTAACACAACACCAGAGGCAGCTGTCAAGAGTAAGTGAAACAAAGAATTTTGTGTCTGGTTCCTAAGTCTGGAGCTGAGCTTCATTTGAAGAAAGTTTATAAAAATACCATCTATAAACTCACTACACCTATGTAAAAAATGCTACTTATTCAAGGATTTTAGCTTTATATGGATTTTAAAAATGGAAAACACAAAGAAGTGCAAAATTCCATTTATTTTGAAAAACAATGTCTTTTGAGCATCAACATCTGTCTTTAGTTAAAGCAAACACTGCAGACATCCTTTTCATTTATTTGCTAAAATGGGTGGGATGTTGTGTGTGGGGCTTTTTTTTTTCATTTCCTTAAATTCTTATGTCTGAAATAGCAGAATACCAGTTTAAAACTATTTATCATGAGTGATGACAAACAAAATATTGTAAGAAAATAAAGAACACAAAGTGAAGACAAGTTTGTGCAATAAGATTTACAATTGTGCAAGAGTTATGCATGTCCTGTATAACTGTGCTCCAAATAGGTGATTACAAGGAATTTCCAACCAGCGACTAAAAACTAAATCAACGGGTGTGTAAATAGGTGTTCATCGTGGAAATATAAAAACAAAAGATACTGACCATGTATCACAGCATGTGTAAATCACAATAAAGGCATTCAGCTGTAACAATGGTGGATGTGTGGGGGTCTCATGGGATTCTCTGCTCCTGCAGGAGTGCTGACTGTGCTTACATTTCTCTTGGCCATTCTTTTTACCTTTTAAAAAGGCACCACCAAAGGAGCCTTCTTGTAAATTACCGCAATGAGGCTAAACCCTGCCAACTTCAGGCAGTAAATAATCCACACTCACTCATCCAAGAGCCCCCCCACTCCCCTCCCCTCCCCTCTGATTTCACCCTCTTGAAGTTGCCCACACACATACAAATACACACCATCCAACAAGTCCATTCCGCATTCTGAGTCCCAACTGGCCAACTTGTGTCTCCCACCCCCTTCACCAATCAGAGAGAAGCATAAACTTCCTACAGACCAAAATTATTCCTCAATTATTATATTATTTATAGCTTGAAAGAGTGCTTCCAGGCAGTGGGGGTAGACAAACCAAAACATTGGGCTGTAACTTAAGATTTTGTGTTGCTATCATCAGCGCTGGAGCAACTCGCACAGACTCACACGCATAGATGTTTTTGTTCTAAACATTTGTTTTAAATCACTGTTTATACTTCCTTCTTCAAAGTTTTATTTGTCAGTCGGCCTCTGTTTGTTCTCACGGTGTTGTAATGTCTCAGTCTGCTCAAACTATCAATGAGGGTGTCCCTGTTAAGGAGGTCATGGGTGACGGGATGCCGGGGTGGTAAATTATGGTTTCAGATTAGCCTTTTTTATGAGAATGAAGAGGAAATGGACTTGGAAGTTGCGTTAGTGTTAGCTGAGTATTGCATTCACTGTTTGGCTTGGCTGTCAAATCCTGTTTTGGCATTGCCATGGTGAGGTGTGGAGCGACTGTAACCCCAGAGTCTTAATAGTGACCTTGCCCTGCAAACGAAGTAGTTCTGGAACTGTGCGTGTTGTGCAACAGTGCTCCTGGACAGATGCAAGGACGGTAATGCCAAGAGGAATGGGTAAATGATTTGAATCTGGCAGCCAGCTCAGGCAGATTTGTCCATTATGTAAGAAACCTCAAGGTGAGGGCTACTGATCATAAACAACTCAAGCCGTCCAACATGACAGGAAGGCTTAGTTAAATATCATCAACCTGACAGGAAAAAACAGGCTTTTTGTCCAAACAAGAAATCAGCTGTAACCCATCAAATTCTTAAGTTGATGTAAACAATATCACATAAAGTGTGTTGTCATCTCACCTGGGGCCCAGTTCATCCTCACTGCGCCACACAAAATCCCCAAACTTCTCATAGTGAGAGTTGTAGTGGTGCTGGACTCTGTAAAGCATTGGAGGAGGAATTTCCATCAGCATATTGTAGGCCATCTGCTGTTCCTTTCCACTGGTGTAGCCATTGTACAGGTTATACACCCTGTCTGCTATTTCTGTCAGCAAGAAAAGGTAGACAAAAGAGAGAGATACAGTAGAAGTGAGCATTGTTACTTTTTAATTACATTTTGCATCAATCAGGCCCCAGCTTAGAAGAAGAATATGATATTAAAATGTACTTTTTGGATCCATCCATCCATCCATCCATCCATCCATCCATCCATCCATCCATCCATCATCTATACCCGCTTCTTCCTTTCAGGGTTACAGGGGTCACTGTTGCCCATATCCAGCAGTCACTGTGCGGGGGGCAGGGTACACTCTGGAAAGGTCGCAAGTCCATCACAACTTTTTGGAACTAACTAAGCATAATGTATCAGGTAAGAGAACTGTCAGAATTATTGTATGTGTAAAATTTAGACTCTTACACATACAATAATTCTGACAGTTCTCTTACCCCATAGTAAGCCTACACACACAGCTTGGTAGTGATGAGCAGGTCAATACTGAAATATACGACAGGTACCAGAACTTTATGATCTAGAACTGAAACTAAATTCAAAATATTGATACTCTAATACTTTTATTCTTTCAGCTAATACATATAATTAAAAAGAACACAGTGAAAAATAAAAGATTGAAATCTTGCCTAAATCTGATTTGGTTATCCGGAACTACTTCTTCTTCCACCTGAGTAACACGTAAGTGCAGCTACACGTGCTCAGTCAGTCACTCTGTAGTCTGTAGACATTACATGTTCAGTATTTTTATGGTAAAACAGTATATTCATGTAACATAATTTAATAATCAAGTTTTAATTTTTAAGGAACTTCTAGATAACCAACCTATAGTTTATTGTAACGATTTTATTACCTAACTTGATTTTTCATTATTTTTAACACATTTTTACACATTTTGTATGAATATTTCCTGTTTTTTCTGTTGGATTAGCTCGCTATATTGTAAATGAGGATGCTACACCAATATGCAGTATTTCCGAGTTTAAAATTGCTCTGAAAACAGGCAATTTCTGATTCCTAATGTCAGATTCTGATATTCTACTGTCTTTAAAACAAAACATATATTTTTCTATTTTTGCACAATTCTTTATATATTTTATTATTAGTAGTTGCATCATGTCAGTGGTAATTTTGTTTTGTGTGCACTATCTATAAAATAACTAGTGTGTGAACCTCTGTACGGATGCTGTTGTGACACCTAGATTTCCCCTCGGTGGGACAATAAAGACTATTTCTATTCTTCTACTCTATTCTATCCTACTCTGATGTCTTGCATTATTTATGAAGTGGTTATTTGAAATATACTACCTTTTTTAGATTTAGCAGATACATAAGTTATGTTTGCACAAAGTATCAGTACAGATCATTATTGCTAATACTCATCTAAGTTATACCCGGTATCAGAATCTGAAAGGAAACTGACGGTATTGAGCATCACTTGGTCTCTGTGTATCATACAGGATACAGCTAAAGCATATTTTGATTACATACAGTACATTCCTACAACTGTGTGTAGATCTGCAGTAAAAGGAAAGAATGTAGATGTCCTAGAAATGCACATCACAAGAATATGGTTGTTCATAAAATAAAATTACATAAAATTGCATATATTTAGGAGAGAATACATCCAGGAAAATACCTTATTTGTGAAAATACATCAGGTAAAGGAGGCAAATGACAATGACTCGTAAACTAAAACAAAGAAAAACAAAACACTCTGACGATAAGAGCAGGTACCTTCAGCACGACTGTCATCCACCACTGGACAGGAAGTACGCACAGAGACAAAACTGGACTCAGTTGGACTGCCTCGGTTATCCACTGCATTGAGAGTAAACCTTAAAAAAGGACCCAAAACATGTTTTAGTTGCTAATAAAATTACTGCCACAACTAGTAAAAGTTGCACATGCAGACAATAAAAACAAAGAAAAATTACTGAAAAGGAGCTAAAGCCTAAACTCTTTTGTTTTCTTTTTTAAAACATGACATCTTCCAAATCAATATTAGTTAAAACTTTGAAAATGAGTTATTCAAACATAGAGTGAAAAACGTAAATTTACTCCTCACTTTAAATAGGTTTATAATGGTACACAGAAAAAAAGCTTTTCAAACAGAAAATTAAATGACTTTCATTATTAAAGCTTGCATTAGGTTTTACAACAAATTAATTCTATTTTACAATTTAAATTGTGGCACCAAACGTATTTTGAAATGGATTTTCAGGGTTACAAGTATCATTGCTTTAGGTTTACTGTTAGTTCAAATGTGACAGTAGAATAGTTACAAAAGGATACACATCTTGTAAACAATGGATGGAAGTTTAATCATATTGAAACGATTTCTCCAGCAACACAATGGCAAAGGAAAAGGGAATAAAAGTGGAATCTGGCCTGAATCTGAGAACTTCATAAGGACAAAGTCTGTCTCTCTGCAAATGTCAAACCTCTGGATGTTTTGGGTTGCATGATAGACTTCAGAACCACTAAGTACCTGATAAGATACCACAGCAAACAGTTCAAGACATTCCAAGAGGGGATGAGGCACACAGAAAAAAAAAACACAGCATCTTAAGTAATGTAGGACCACACAGCAAGGAACAGAAAACAAATGACCTTTACATGTCCTTTTGAAAATGTCAATCTGTCTACTTCAGATTATGAAAAAGTACAAGGAGGAACTGGCCATCCTGAATGTAAAAAAGACAGAAAAAAAGCGAGACAGAAGAAGAGAGGGGGTGGGTTGCTGCTAATCTCATCGATGCACACAGTTGGTTGCTCTCATCTAGGTGATGGCTGCACTTAACCTGTCACCATTGCTCATTTTTTGACATACACAACATCAAATGTCCCTTTCAGATATGTAATCTTTTCCATCACTCTGTTAACTTCGTGTCTTCATTTCTGCTCGCTTTCTGTTGAAGTCATCAAGCCAATCATTATAGTTTGAACTTTTTAATTACACTTTCATCCCAGTTAAGCAGAGCTGTATGCAGCTACATTAATAGAGGCACAGAAGGGTAAAACCAGCTTTTCAGTTTTGAAATTATTTGGATGAAGATTCTAACCATTTTCATTTTTGCTGAATTCAAGATTTCAGTTCATGTTTTCTTCTAAAATGAATAAGTTTTCTTGCCAGCTAGCACTAGAACACACATTAGATAGATAGATAGATAGATAGATAGATAGATAGATAGATAGATAGATAGATAGATAGATAGATAGATAGATAGATAGATAGATAGATAGATNTAGATAGATAGATAGATAGATAGATAGATAGATAGATAGATAGATAGATAGATAGATAGATAGATAGATAGATAGATAGATAGATAGGATTTTTTTTTACCAACTTTTGTTTTCTATGCTCAAATTGGGACATTTTTGTCTTATGAATATTATTTTGTATTATAATTTTATTATAATGTATTGTTGCACAACTGGACTTGTATCGTTCCTGTTTGCTGAAACCCTAACCAATTTCAGCCAATCCTCAGCCTAATGCTGCCACAAGTTTCTTCCTGGTAAAAGGGAGCCATTCAACTGCTGCCAATATGCTGCTCAGGATGGGGGATTGTGACAAAGTAAACAAGTAAACAAACAATCTGCTGGCCTCATTACAACTTGACATGACAGTTTTTATTAAGTGATATTTCATAATGTGCTTTATATTGTCATGTTTGTGGAAGGAACTGAACCAAGGGTGCAGACTAATAATTGAGGGAACTCAGGCGTGAACTAAAATAATTTTAATAAACAAAATAAAAAAGGCTGACAATCTAGAAAATAAACTCAAAAAACAAAATAAATGACAGAAAAAACATGGATCATGACATATATGATGAAGGCCTTGAGTTATAATTGATTGAACCGTGGCTGTGACTCTGCATCTGAAATGAATTTATGATTTTGACTTGTTTGTTCAATGTATAGTTCCCTGAGATGACATTAGTCATGAATTGGTATAGTAATAAACTGAAATGAATATGTGCATATTGTACTTTATTGGTAAATAAAAATAATTAATTTACCTAGAAAACTTACCAATATGAAACTGCTTTTTGTGATGCTCAACAAAGCAACGTTTTATATTTTTTAATCATTGGTTTTGCCAAATAAACACAAACCAAAGTAAAGTATGTATAAGAGCTTGCAGGCAAACTGAAGAAAATGTAGCATTTTTTTTGTCTTTGAAATATATCCATCATCATTGTTCCTTTGATGGTTTTATCTCATCAAAAGACTTATATTTACAGAACTGGATTAAACTGTGTAATTACCTAGATTCTAGAAGAAGGAATGTGTAAAAAATGCCCCTTATACTAAGTCTAGTTTGACCAATTTTGTACAAGTATTTGTTCTAATCATCTAAAATTGTCATTCAGTTCCCAGTACTTGTTGCCACATTGAGTAATTTATGGAAAAGATTGTGCTGTACATAAAGATTTACTGAACAGGAGGGAATGCTGGTGGTAAAGTTATTCCTACTGCAGGGGAAGTTTTGGAAAAGTGAATTAAGTATTGAGAAATATTTACAACTGGTTAAGAAAAACTGTAAGCTTTCAGCAGTATTTCCACAGAGTAACCACTGTAAAAACATCAGTACGATAAAAAAGGAGGAAACCGCAAAACAAAGTGAGACAAAATGAGCAACTTGTATGGCATTCCAACCCTGCAAACCATTTGAAATGCAGAAAAATAAATAAATTATGATATTATTGTTTATGCGAAAGCTACTTTGCCCCCTACAGACCATCCACTTTTAATGTCTTTTGCAATCTGCTCCAATGGTGTTGAATGATTGTTTTGCTTGTAACATGACCTGTTTAGGCATTGTTCACATACTTTGTCTGGTCTTGTTATTCAGCAGGGTGGATGTGGTATTCCCCAAGAACCTCAAAAAAGACTCACAGGCCTCGCTGGCTCCTCTGCCCAGCAAAACAATGCCAGCATGTTACAGTCACACTGTTTAAATTACGCAGCCACAGATAAATACAGTGAGGTGGGAGAGAGGAGGGAAGCAGCAATATGATGCGACAGAGCTTTTATTTGCTCATTTATCTAGTTCTGTTAGGAGTTAGAGTCTTATTATGCTCGATAACTTAAACGGGTCGCATCTAAATGTTTGCTTTCTTTTACTTCTCCCCCATGGTGAGCTTGGTATTTCTTTAAAAAAAAGTCAGGAGATTAGTCTCTGAAACAAAACTTCAAAAATGAAAGGCTAAGTATTCCTTAAACCAGTGGTTCCCAAACTTTTTATCTTCTGACCCACAAAATATTTATGGCAAAAACTTGTGACCCCAAATATTACTGGTCTGAGTACACAAACTTTGTTAACCCTAAAAACAAAGGCTACACAAATATAAATACTTATTTATACTTGTTTTGTGTTTTTGTAATAATTATAGGGAAAATATTACATCACCAATTATTTTATTACCATTTCAACTGATTTCTGAAGTGCAGTGGTTCCCAAACTTTTCAGCTTTTGACCCACAAAATAACAGTAGCAGAGACCTATGCCCACAAATATTTTTGGATGATAAACATTTGTATCAGGTCAACTAAACATGGGCATAGTAACAGTATTTATTATTCTACATTTATACGTTTTAGACAACTAAGGCAAAAATGTAATTAATTTAGAAAGTATTTTAAGGACCCCACCTTGATGTTTCAGGACCCCACTTTGGGTCCCGACCACAACTTTGGGAACCACTGCCTTAAACCAATGTACATCCCCCGCTCCCTTTCATATCAGAGTTTAAAACTAAGATCATCTTCTGTTCAGGAATCATAGAGTTTTAGCTGTTTTGGTTAAACACTCCAAACACTCTATCAAATGATTATTTGATAAAATTTGTTAAGTCATTCATGTGCTATTTTGTTAACAAACAAACTTAGTTGGCTTTAAATAGTTAAAGTGGTAGTAGGGAGTTCTGCAAAAACTGTGGATGGCTTGAAAATTAGAACCAGCACATGTTACAGGTCCATCCCCCTTGCAGCGACATAGCTCTCCTTCCACATCGCCTCCCTCTCATTGGAGCCCAACGTGAATGTACAGGCTAGTAAGCAGCAGGGCCACCGCTGTTGGCGAATAAACGGCTAAGGCACATTCAAAACTCTCAGAAATGGGCTGTTTTCCAGTAACATCATCAGCTTGTTTCTCCACCATTAGCATAGCTGCAGCACACCAACAATCTTGAGCTTGAACGAAGGTACGCGCTGTGCATGGGGAAGGGAGTGAGCAGAGCGTACACAAGCGTGATTGACATTGGTAAGACATTCTTCTTGTCTTTGATTGGCTGTTTCTGACAGGGAGCAAAGTGTTTCTGTAAATGGCAGTAGGACTACTGGGGTGAGCCAGAGCAACTTTATTTTTTTTTCACAGATTATCTGTCTCATATTCTACTTGTCAGGACATTTTTAGCAACTATGTAAAACATACATATTCATAAAAGTTACCTATGTAGCTTTAAGGGCAAAATTAAAAACAAACTAGATACCGCATAGGGGTAACATGAACCCCGCACGCACAAATGCACCAGAACTCAGAAGTCTTTATTCCTAATATATGTCATGATACTAGGTGCATCCCAAATTTGTAGCGGTTTGGGTGAGGGTCTTTTTTTTGGGGGGGGGGGGCATTGGGTGACCTGATGGATAGCCCCTTGTCAGAGCTAAACAACCAACGAAAATCTGAAGCTCCTATGTTTAATACTTTTTGAGCAATAACCATTTTTGTATGTCCAGATACCCCTTTTCAGATAGATTGGGGGTCCGGTGGGGCACTGATTGTGGGCTTGATGGATAGAGCTTCATCAGAGCTAAACAACAAAAGAAATCTGGAGATTCTATGTTGAACAGTTTCTGAGTTATAAGCATTTTTGCATGTCCAGACACCCCCTCTTTGGATGGAGCCCCCTCCTGAAATATGGGGTCTATTGTAAAACCGTTGGCTGGCGCAGTGTAGGTCGGACTCATCTATAGTCCTGCCAAATTTCATGTTGATTGGTGCAGCCGTTTTTGTGCTACGGTTGAMCAAAAATCACTGGAAAAAAAAACAGTACGAAAACAATATGACTTACGCTTCGCATGCGGGGGTCATAAAAATTTACCTAACTTGTTAACACTCAGAATAGTATGTTGGGGATTAGTCTCATTTACTACCACAATCCTTTTAGGCTAATTTCTGTAAAACTGACTAATAGGAATTATCGTGCTTTTTTTAGGATCAGTTGGCCATGGCAATCATTTTGAATCTGGTAAGTCCAAAAGTTACTTCAGAGAATCAGTTATAGATTTACAGCAAATTATTACTTTCTGTAGGTTTCAACAGATTAGATAATTTATGATTTGGTTTCATGATATATTTTTGCAACATATAGACGCAGAAACACACAATCAAAAATAAAGGTATTTGCTAGAAAGTGCATGTGCATTTAATTGAAAATACCACAATATCAGTATTTATTACAATGCTTTACATTTATTAAATATCTGGGGATCTTGTTCACGAATGGGGGAAGAACGGAGCGGGAGATCGACAGGCGGATTGGCGCAGTGTCTGCTGTAAAGTGGGTGCTGTACCGGTCTGTCGTGGTGAAGAGAGAGCTGAGTCAGAAAGCGAAGCTCTCGATTTACTGGTCAATCTACGTTCCTACCCTCATCTATGGTCATGAGCTTTGGGTTATGACCGAAAGAACGAGGTCCCAGATACAAGCGGCCAAAATGGGTTTCCTCCGCAGGGTGGCTGGGCTCTCCCTTAGAGATAGGGTGAGAAGCTCGATCATCCGATAGGGACTCAGAGTAGAGCCGCTGCTCCTCCACGTCGAGAGGAGCCAGTTGAGGTGGCTCGGGCATCTGGTAAGGACGCCTTCTGGACGCCTCCCTGGTGAGGTGTTCCGGGCATGTCCCACCAGGAGGAGGCCCCGAGGAAGACCCAGGACACGATGGAGGGACTATGTCTCTCGGCTGGCCTGGGAACGCCTTGGAGTTCCACCGGAGGAGCTGGAAGAAGTGGCTGGGGAGAGGGAGGTCTGGGCCTCCCTTCTGAAGCTGCTGCCCCCGCGACCCGACCCCAGATAGGCAGAAGAAAATGGATGGATGGATGGATGGATGGATGGATGCTTTACATTTATGCAGCATAAAAGAAGCAGTATAGTATGAATGAACAGCATCTGAGTTCAGAACAGACGCTCTGTGATTACAAAGGTTGCTTAGAAGAACAAAAGATTCAGGCACAGTTTGGCCTGAAAGGAGAATGTCAAGTCATCAAGTAAAGGAGCTGGCAAGAGACACGGCCACTATGACCACCTACTCATAGAGAAGGATACACTTTCCACTGTCTCTTTAGTTTTTCCTATCTATATTCCTCACACTTATTGTAGCTCAGCTCCATCTATTTCCGTTTTCTGATTCAGAGTCTTTAACGTGTACGTCCAAGTCTGACTGGCTGCACACGCTTCCTTCAGAAATGACTCGGTTTGTCCATGTGTTCCACAATTTTGAAAGCTGTGCAAACAATGAAGTAGACAAATTGCAGAATAAAGATTGTGTAAATTAGGAAATGTTGCCATTTAAGTAGCTATCACTGGTTGTGCTAGAGACATTGTTGAGTAAAATGGCCGAAACATCAGAAACGCCGCACGAAGCAGAAGGAACGAGAGAAAGTGAAGGCATGTCAAGAGCAGCCAAGACAGTAGGGGATGCCTTTTCCATTACATCAGCATTTGGATGCACATCAGTTGAGCCTGTTCACAAATCAATCAAAGCTACAGAGCTGTTTCTGTTTGCCTGAAGAATCGTGTCATCTTACAGTTCTTACAGTTCCTCGTGGCTCTGAAATCCTTCAGTCTAAGTGGTATCTCACTGCTGTAACAGCTCAAAATAAAATGGCTTTGCCTTTCATTATAAATTAGAAACAACAATAAAAGAAAAGTCAGCACTGAATGAGCTCACTTGCACATCAACAAGACACAGCAGGAAAAGAAATAATGTCCATCCTTCATTAAAAGACACTTTTAAATACCAAAAATTTTGAGAAACTCCATTCTTTTAAACAAACATCATTTCTGCAATTCACTAGCAGAACAGTTAAATTTGGTATCTCCTGGTGCTGCGTATACAGGTGCTGGTCATAAAATTAGAATATCATGAAAAAGTAGATTTATTTCAGTAATTCCATTTAAAAAGTGAAACTTGTATATTATATTCAT